TACAACGGGGCGACCGATCGCAGGCGAAACTTTCGAAATGCACGGGAAAAGTTTAATTTCTGGCACTTGTCGTGCAGGAACGTAATCGAACGTGCGTTCGGAGTGTGGAAAAGTCGTTGGAAAATACAATCGGATGTCAAGTTATAATTTTAGGGCCTGTTTGGTATGGCTCAAAATCCAATTAAAATTGAAAATATAGTCGTTATTGTGTCCCACTCATCGAATAAAAGTCAACAATAACGGCTAATTTTTCAATTTTAATTCGATTTTAATCTCTACAAAACACCCTCTTAATGTGCGAACAACTGTTGTAATTGCAATTATGGGAGTTCACAACCTTCGACGAGCGGGTGTGGTGGATGAAGCATTTACTAGAGCGGAGACGGACCCCGAGCAGCGGAGGTGGACCTCCCGGACGAACGGGACGAAGTTGCAGCCAAATGCATGCTCCGGAAACCCAATGAAATGAGTGGGATATGTTCCGAGATTACTTGGCACATCAAGTTTGAAATTTATTTTTTATTCGTAATTTGATTGCCGTGTGGGACACGAAGTAATTACCGAAAAATTAGCTATGTCGTGTGGTGCTATTTTCATGTCAGGAAAATGCAACGAAAATATGGGAACAATATTTCCATTTGCCACGTGAATAAAAATTGTTGTGAAATAAAGAAAAAAACAACGTTCAGCAAGAATACAAATGAAAATCCAAAAATTCGACCAGGTGGGGACCATGCTTGAACTTTTGATGTGGAACAGTCTAAATGGGCTGCACAATCAATTATCACATTTGTTGGGACGGAGGGCATTTATGGAATGTTGCTCCATTTTTTTACCTTCACCATTATTCAACACTGTAAATGATAATGACAGGAAAATCAATTGTTGAAAAGCAAGAATCCCTACTAGACACCCGCTAAGGACAAAGACGTCAGTGAGATATACACTCAATATCATCAGCTTTTCGACGATAGCTATGAAAGTAATAAGTATAAAGTGACTCCCATGAAGTTATGTCGTACGAGATTCAGTCTGTTTGAGGATAGTGCAGCTGAAGACCACATGGATACAATCAATGTAGATGGGGAGAACACTGGTTCGAGTGCTGAAGGCGACGAGGAAATTACCTCTAGCATGAACGCTTTTGGACCCTGAAGCGGCGAGAAGAGGAAGTCGACGACGAGCTGTCGTAAAGGGAAGAAGAAGAAGAAAGTTTCAGCTTGGGATTTGTATTACTCAGTTGATCGCGAAAAGTGCCGCCGAGGAAGTGGCGACGAAGATACACAATTATGGCCTTGAAAAAGAACGCTGGAGTGGCTTGCGTGGAAGAGTTGCTTGAGGCGGGACGGCTCAAGCGACGCACGCCCTTGTACTACGCTTGTACGCTTATGGCTCAGAAGCGGTATCGAGACTTGCTCGGTGTCATGCAAGACGTAGATGAGAAATTTGAGTGGATTGAGTGGCAGTTCGACGAGCGTACAAGTCCCTTCATTAAGTTGTGTACTAATCGAACTCTATTTTCTTGTTTGTAATATTTCTTTTTTTTTTCTTGTATTAGAATGTGAGACTTACAGTTAGTAGTGTAATTTAATGTTTGGTTTGTAATGTTACGATTCGTCTCTCATAGGATTAAATGGGTGGTGGACAACTCTTGCATGCGTTTTTGGTTTTTTGGGTAGGGAAACAAATCAGAACATTACAAAAAAGGTTCCCATGTAGAATAGTAAATTCAGCCTTTACTTTTTTAAACCTTAACATACGAGAATTATGGAAATGTGATGAAACGAAAAACACATGCCTACAATGTAAACTCTTATATAAACCATTTGGGTTGGATGCTAGGTTAGTAACACATCATTCTATTTTGACGAGGCGTTTATTTCTTCTTCTCTAGTGACCGCATTTGGTAGACAACAATTACAAGATGGACAATCTTGACTTCAACCGTACGCTTCAATTGGAATCCGGCAACGAAGAAGTTGATGATGAAGTTTTTTTAGCAAACTAGCAGATGACGTCATGAAATGGGTCACGTATTGTCGAATCGCAGCAAGCGACAAATGTGAGTACTATCGTAAATGTCTTATCTGACGATTTCCTTTCGCAAGAAATGGCCATATGCTTTTTAAGGAAGCAATGGAAGAAAACGGACAAATGTGCTATCAAGAATTTCGAATGTATCCACAACAATTGCGACACTTTGCACATATTCTAAGAGACGAATTAGGCTTACGCAGTAGCCTGCAAGTCGATATCTATGAGCAAGTCAGTATGTTCTTGTGCATGTTAGCGCATGGAAAGAGATACTGGCAGGTGACAACAATTTTCAATCATTCATTGCAAACATATGTCATTACTTCAAGGAGGTTCTCCGTGCCATCGTTGCGTTATCGGCTTGGCTCATACAACCAAGATCGAACTATAACGAAGGCGAACAACCCCATAGGCCAGACCCGAATAAGCATCCATTGTTTCAAGATTGCATTGATGTAATTGATGAAACGCATGTGAGCTGTGCTACCGCATCACGAGCGGGTGAACTTCATTGGTCGAAAAGGAGTGCCGACGCAAAATATGTTGGCTGCCTGTAACTTTAATTTGTGCTTCACGTTCGTGCTTGCTAGCACAATCGGGAATACGCATGACGCTCGTATACTAGCTCGTAATATACGGTCCAGAAATTCACTTCCCATTACTAGCACCGTAATCGCCGTGCAGGAACGTCATTGAATGTGCATTTGGTGTGTGAAAGCAAAGATGACACTCAAGTTGCCGTTGTTGTCGCAACGATGAGTATCCATAATTTTGTACGTCGCTCCGGAGTGGTGGACGAGGCGTTTATTATAGTAGAAACGGATGATGATGATTCCGAGTTGGAGTTACCAACCGCTGATGACAAAATGCATGCCGAAATGAACGCACCCAAAATACAGCTATGTGATTGGGACAGACTTTGCGATTATATGGTGCAACAACAATGACGATGCATTTTTTCCTGTAGAGAAATTCGATCAAAATTTGAGTCGTGTTCAAAGGTGAGAAAAAAATCGGTCGAACTATTTATTGCTCGTAGTGAGGTTCAATGCTTATGTCGAACGCGGGATTTATTTTAACAAAATATATTATTTTCGATAATGAACCATTTTCATAGAAGCCCAAAATGGGAAAAAGGGAAAATGGATAAAAATGTCAAATACAATTTCACTGTCGGTACTCACAATGACGTAAAAAGAAAAATGCATAATTTTGGTGTAACCATTTTCGTAGAAGGGCAAAATTTGAAAAAAAAAAAAA